CCCGGGGGTCGAGGGCAGAGCCGGGGCTGCAGCGCCTGGCGGGGCGCGTTGGTCGCCTCCCCTTTCCAGGGCAGCGCTTTGGAGCTCCTGGCGCTGCCTGGCCTCGCATCCAGCTGTTGGGATGGTGCAGCACATCTGGTACCGTTCCAGGAAGCACAATCACCGTTTCCCTCGTGCCGCTTCTGTCTCAGGTTCTGCCAAACGTTTCCGAGCTCTATTTAAATGATGTCCCTCCGGTGCCCACTTTGGCAGACATTGTGTGGATAGCAGCAGATGACGAGGAAACCTACGCCAGAGTCAGGTTGGTTCTCCCTTTTTACCTGCTGATCCTCATTTTTATATGCTGGTTTACTTTATGCACTGTATGCCAGGTGTGAATCGAATACTCATAGTGTTTGAGGTGTGATGGGCTGCCTGTTGAAAGAGTTATTCCCAAGAAACGGGGGAAAACTTAGACAAGAATTTCTGTGGAGAATTCCCAAAGGAAGCACTAGGAGGTGGTGTCCTACCACGGTTTTCTCACTGAAAGGTCTGTGCAGAGAATCTCATGTGATTCTTGGCATTTTCGCCTTGGAAAGTTGAAGAGCAGAGCTGTTTTTCTGGGCTCAGAACGCTCAGAGCCCCAGGAGTTCGGTTCCTGGTCACTCACAATGTTTTAATTATTGTCCTGAGAGCAGGGCAGTGATGAGAGGTGTCTTGTGAAAGAGAAAAGAAGACTTTGAAATGAAAGGCAGAGCTTGATGGGGTAAATGACTTTTGCCCAAGCATTCACAGCAAACTGCCCAGGGGACATGTGATGAGCAAAGGGTTTTGCCTTAGCTTTTACCCCTGCCTCCCCTTTCCGTGTCTTGTGCAGTTTGTCCATGATTTCTGCAGTGGGTTTCCTGTTTCTTGGAATGCAGAGAGGTAACACGTAGAGTGGGACAGCACGTCCGTGCGGCGGCACGTGGAGCGCGGTGCTGTAGAGGTGGGAGCAGAGCGTTGCTGGCACAGAGCAGTTTGGATCGTGCAAGTAACCGGCCGATTTTTGTCCCGCGCGTCTTAGGAGCGACACTCGCCCGCTGAAGCACAAGTGGAAGCCCAGTCCCTTCACGGTCATACAGCGAAATGCTTCGGTCCCCAACCTGAGGAAGCAGGAGGAGAAACTGCTCGCCCTGAAGAAACCTGGTTTACCAGCACTGAGCCGAACGACTGAGCTCCAGGATGAGCTGAGTCACCTTCGGAGTCAGATAGCTAAAATAGTGGCCGCAGAGTCAGGTGAGTCCATAGTGACTCTGTTGTTGTTGTCAAATTACGGCTAAACTTAGTGAACAATGATATTGCTTCTCTACAGAACCAGATTTGCAGCTTGTTTTCCCAGCAGAATCAAAAGTGTTTTTCTTGCCGATGGGATGCTGTCTTTGGTACCAGCTCAACACTAGTTCTTTACCTAGATGCATTTGTTTGGCTGGCTAAGCCTTGCTTGTTTTCAGAGATGCTAAGTATAACTTTGTGACTGCATTAGCAGCATTTGGTCTGGAGGACGAGTCCTCCAGACACAGCGCTCAAATTCGTGACCAGCTCAGGCCAGGAAAGGCAAGAACATACCAAATGCCTTGATATATTCAAGGTACTTGAGATTATTCCTTTAAAAATCAGAACAGAGTTGTGCCGTGCTTGAAATGTTACTGAAAAGTACTGCTTCGTTCCTGCTGTTTGAGATGCGGCTGATGAAATCTTCCTTACCCTACATCTGAAAGCAAATATTTTTTCACTACCCAGGCTGCTTGTTTGCGCAGCAGTCTGTGTACATGGAGAAATCCGTCATGGACTGTGACGGGCAGGACACTGTGGTTGTCTGCCTATAGCCCCAGCTGACCTAGAGCCTGAACGGCTGCTCAGATCTGGTCTAGTTACCCCTGAGCTGTTGAAGCGTTTGAACATGAAACGGGTTATGGTGTTTGCTTTAGTCTGAGTGCTGTTTTCTACGTGAAAAATAGTTTGGGGCAGGATTGTTTGTTTTGCATTTCTCTGTGACAGTCTGTGCACTCAAACAATCCATTTGGAATTGATAGCACAGATGTATGTGGCACCACCTGATGAGCAGATAGGACAATTTTGGCCCATGAAATTGTGCTTAAACGAGATTAGATCAGGTATTTCTTGTACTGATGAACCTCACGTAGTTTGTTGTGATTTAACTCACTACGTGAGTTTCCCTCGCGTTGTTTTGTTGTGATTTAATGCACCGAGAGAATATCCATCTTCCTGAGATTTTGTTTCCTGTCATTTTTGGTCCTGTCAAAACTCAGCAGCCATCAGCTGCACAGATCCCATATGCCACGGACGGCAGCTTTGGCAAGGGCAGGGTGAGTGAAGCCCCTTGGAGGGTCACGGAACCACATTACCCTCAGGTCTGCGGGGGAGAAGTATAAAAGAAGACATCACAGAGGTCCCCTTCAGAAAGACTCCTTGTGTCCTCAGGATCAGAGGGACAACTGAACTGGAATGAAGAACAGGCAAAATCTGTCCATTTTTCCTTCCCTCTCCTGTCTTGGCTCTACAATTGTCCAAGCTGTGTGCCAGAAAAGCCTGTTTCAAAGAAAGTAGTAACTCAGAAAATTAGAGACCTGGGTGGGAGAAAAACGCATTAATCGTTTCATTCCCTTTTTTCTCCCTCTCTGCTTCACAGTGTTCCCAGTCTTTTCAGTTAGCATTTGAGAACGGTTCTTATTGACGTAGAATCTTCTAAGACAGTAATTGGGAACTATGATTTAGGGCCTAGCTGTGGCTCAGTAATCTGACGCAGGAGATGAATAGTTAGCAGGTTTATTTGGAGAGGTTGATGACAAAAGAAGAAAAAAAAAAAAAGAAATAGAGCACAGTCTGCTTTATTATATACTGATACAGAACGGCCTTAATTGGAAATTGATAATGATCTGCAACTTTTCTTTGGAGGCTAAGGGCATTAGTGCTTTAAGGTACCATTTGTTTTCCACAAAGAGAAATTCTTCCAAGGAAATCTGCACTTACCTTTTTTTTCCCCCTAATATTTTAAATTGAAAATGCCTTAACTCATTTTCATTTAATAGCAATTGGAATTTATATAGCTTTTCTTAGCCTCATGGTGCTTTAAAACATGAGCAAATAAACTCCATCTTTTTGTGAAGGAAGTGGTTGCTATTCTCATTTTGTAGATGATGGTGGAAAGCAAGACGAGTCAAAATACCTGCAGTCACAGAGGGCCTTGCTGTCAAAGCCTGGTTTAAAATGCAAGAGCGCTTGATCTGGCTCTGCATTCACACCATCTAGAGTGGTTTGAGGGGAAAGAAAAAGGAAGGAAAGGTGTATGCACTGTGGGGAAGGGCAAGGGAGGGAAAAATAAGACAATTAAGACCTATATCATAATACAGGCTCCCTCTGTGACCTTGAGCAGCAGCTAAATCTCTGTTCGTTCCTTATCTATGAAATGGAAAAGCAAACCTGGCTTATGCAGGTCCTGGGTGCAGTGTTTGAACTGCAGGGGTGGTAGGGCACTGGGTATGGAGGTACAAGTAAGGGGCTGGAGAGAGAAAAGATTCTGGAGAAAGTCTTGTATGGTGTTTTAGGCACGTTAAAATGGTATTTTAGGAAGTGGAAACCATGGAGGGTAAGACAGCAGTTGGATTAATTTGTGTTTTGCTGACATGGGTGTGACTGCCTCATGATGCCTCTTGACTCATATTCTATTGCTTAGGAAAAAAAATAGATTTGGCATTAGTTAATTTATCCACCTGTATTGTTTTCTTTTTCAGCTTCTGCTTCGTTAACACCAGATTTATTATCTCCAGGAAGTTCAAATGCATCTTCTCCCATACCTTGTTTTGGACCCTCTTTCCACTCTACAACTTCCTTTGTCATTAGCGATATCACAGAGGAGGAGGCGGAATTGGAAAGCCCGGATCTCCCATCAGTTTCCATGCTTTGTTCTGCAACCTCTGAATGTTGTAAACCAGAGCCAAAGGATCCTGACGAGGAAGACTCCGTGTCCCTTTCGAAGGCCAGCAGTTTTGCGGACATGATGGGCATTCTTAAAGACATTCATAGGATGAAGCAGAACAAAGACTTGTAAGTCCCTTCCTGAATTCTCTTGGTTTTTTTTTCTTTGAAATTTTATCTTTTCTTTTTTTTCTCTCTGTCAAATCACTGTAGACACTGGACATCACCTCCATCTGTCGTTGATGGTGCTGCATGTTCATGATTCACAGAGGGGAAATAACAATTTTAAAGTCGAACTTGGGGACAATTATGTTTCTGTATTGTTTTAGTTGCATCTGGGACGATAGATTGGAGACCAGACCTGCGTTATGGAACTAGCTGGGGAGAAAGCAGTGAAGGGGAGACTTAAACAGATGAGCACAGTGTTTGACTATGTCAAACTATTCACTTCAAGAAAAGGTTGTGCTTTGCCCAGATTAAGCAAGAGCAGAGGTCCATATTTCCTTGTCTACTTGAAGCTGTTCTAGAGTAGCTTGTTTAAAGTGTTAACTCTACTCAGCCCTCTTTGTTTTACATGTGAAATAACAGTGTTAATTCCAAATTTCAGCCCAAAGATATATCCAGCAACTACATTGTTTGAGCGACTGCCCTGGCCAAAAAGTAACATGTTGAATAATGGTTGCTCACAATTTTTATGCCTGATTCGGTTGAAAAGAAATGTAATTTCTTTTTTTTAGTACTGAAAAGAAACATGTAGTCGAATGAGAGACGTGTGTTCAGCTTGCACCCAGGACACGTGTAACGAGGCCTGGACTGGAGGGGAGGCTCTTTGCGAAGTCTTTGAGGCAGGCTGGAGCAAATCCATGAGAATGACAGAAACAGGAATATGACTTCTCAGCTTGGCGTTAGTTCGTTGTAGCCCCGGCTAGGTCGGCATGCTGTGCAGTTAGCAGTTGCTCTGCTGAAGCATCAAGGATCTGCTGTCTGTGTTCTCTTCTCTTCACGTGGCAGTTCTGGAACGCGAGTGTTTCGGCGTCTTCAGCAGCCATAGTTGATCCTTTGGGAGAAGCAGCTTGTAGGGGACAGGGAAAGCTGCAGTAAGGTCAAAGTTTGACTCAGATTTCCTGAACCTATGAGAGTAACTAGCAATGGATAGAAGTGTTTAATCTTGCTGTACTATAGGAAGGAATCAATATGTAAGAATAGGAACAAGAGAAAGAATTTGTTAATGGCACCAACTCTTTATAAAATTACCAGTGATGGGGGAGAGGAAGATTATCATACCCTAGAATCCTTCTTGGAGATTAGGGAGAGGGAATGTCCTTTGTTCTCGGGAACAGAGATGGACAAACAACCTGAATCACCAAGTCCTCTTCTCCACTTAGTGACGACTTGATGGATTAGGAAGTGAGTTGGGTCACAAACGAGTCCGGTTGCTCTTTTCTGATGGAACTCAGAGAATGATGGATGCTTGATCCTCTCCGCTCTGGCGGCCTCTGTCCCACAGCTGCGGACAGGGAACATCCTCTTTCAAGGTCAGAAGCAGCCGCACACGACCCTGTTCTGCCACGGCGGGGTTATAAGCACATTACTCACAAGCAATGGCAATTTGGACGGTGTTTTAAATCAGAGCAGGTTCATACAGGTAGCCTGCATAGAGGCATCTGTGTTTTATTTCTCTGGCTTTCTGAACTTCGTACGTGGGCAGATCTCTGAAAGGAATTGTTTCTGCACTTCCACGATGTGGTGTTTGACAGCTGAGTAATTGAGGGTACGGCGGGTTTTACCTTGCTATAAAAAGAAATGCCTGGCATTCAAGAAATGCCCTGTCGAGTTTCCAGCTACAGATGTGTCTGTGGTGTGGAAAGATGATTCCCAGATCCAGTCCTGTAGTGTCAGTGCAGCTCTGCTAGCAGGTCTGGGCTTTTCCCGCTGTGCTCGCTCTGCGGCTCTGTAGCACCGGTAAAACTTACGGGATTACGTGCTATAAGTTCTGCAGATGAAGGTGCTAAAGGGTGTTTAACAAGATAATTACATAGATGCTTCTCTGATGCTCCTATTTAGGACTTGATGCTTAATCACAACCTTGGAAGCTTCGTGAATGAGTATGGGAAACGCTTGCAGGAGTGTTTATGTTTCGACAAATGTCAAATAGACCTTTTAAGGTGTCTGTGATGGCCTCTGGAAGGGGACTGTCTGAGTAGTGTGCTGAGCCGTGCATGCAGTGGGTGGTTAAAAACAGGTAGCATGAGGAGCTGCTTGGAATGTGAGTACACTTTTATTTTTAAGTTACTGCTACTTCTCTGGGATGGAACAAATGAATCTGCCTGTGATGATTTTCTCTGGCCCTCGGAGAAGCAATGGAGGACTGAGATGCTGGTTTAATTCTGGTGCTTCTGGGCGTTCAGGTGCTGCTTCTGCTGCTCGTTTCTCGCAGTTGTTGCTGGTTGTGCCTTGCTGGAGGAAGCTTGTGCTCTTTGGTAGGACAGAGCACTTTTCTCACCCAGATGATCTCCTCTTGTGAGAGTGTTTTCCTTGTGCTCGGCACCCATGAGGCTTCTTCGCGGCTGCCTCTGCTGCTCTTGGCCCTGCTCTACTCCCGACTGCTTGGGTTGCTCGCGGGGGCTCTTGGTTGGTTGATTGATGCTTCAGGGAACTCTGAATTTCCAGGTTTGCCTGCGTGGCAGGAATGGTTTGGAGGGACTCCTGGGCTTTATCTCTGCACTGTCAGAAGGAGCAAATCCGCAGCACGTTTCCAGCTCTAAAATCAGCTTTCAAATTGTGATGCGCTTACACAGCTGTAAACCAGGAACGTGGCTGGGCCAGGAGTGCCCTGGAGCCGCCCCGGGGGTCTCGCGCAGCCGCCCGGAGCGGGGCAGGCACCTCCCAGACAACTGCAGAAGGCCCCAGCCCCTGGGGATGGTTTTTAAGGAATGTTTAAAACATGCACTGGTTTCTGAGAGGATTGTAGCTATAGAAAGCTTAAGCTCTGAAATCGTTACTACAAGTTCCAAACAAAGCCTTAGTGAGTCATGGTAAGTTGACGGGAGAAAAACCTACATTTTGGCTTCCTGGAAAATAAGTTTACTGGCACTTCTTAAGCATCCTGCTTGCCTGGGCATGTCACAAGGGGCAGAATGCTTTGATAATAAATAGTATATTAAAAAAAAACCCTTTATGTAGTTGCGCAAGAGAAAGGGAATGCATGACAATTCTCTTGATAAATGCTAAATATAGAGCTTTCCTGAGATTTCCCCTGATATGACGAGATCTGTGACGTGAGCTACCTGTTTCCAACACCAAACATGAAAGATCTCAATTTTAAGCTACCATTTTTTCTTTTTTTCTTTTGTATGGTTGTTCTTGCACCTCCCTCCTCCACTTGCAACAAAAGCTGATGATCAAGATTGCAGGAAAATACTTAAAATACATTTTTAATGACAATTTTGAAGTCAGAGTTACTAGAATTGTAAACTTAATTGTAAATTAAAATTACTAGAATGGTAAGCCATCAACTTTCATGTTTATTAATACACTGTGTTTTTTATGTTCCACGTAGAACCCGAACTTCAATGAAGGAGGAAGACCCTGCTATTCTCATAGCAGAAGTTTTGAGAAGAAAATTTGCCCTGAAAGATGAGGATCTAACTATGAAAGAGAAGTGATGTTACTGTCGTTAAACTCTGTAAGCCAGTGTTACGCTCCCAAAATTTTCTCCACAGTAGCTGCCTTCCTAAGGAGTGAACTTTTTTGCCTCTTTTATTAATTAGAAATTGTTTATGCACTGGACACTTATTTAGGAAAGACCCTATGGATTTGAAGTGTTTTCAATGTATTGTAATATTTAAGAAACTTTTTAAGAAGATGGAAATTCTTTTCCACTTGTATTTAGGTCTTGATTTTTGGTAAGGATCTTCTAGAGAATGCAATGAGTGCTGCTGGATGAAGTTCTTTCTACCTACAGGTTTCTTAGGTTCACATTAAGCATTCAAGTTAACTTATAACTGTCTTGTTGCAATATAACTTATTACTCGTTACAGTAAAAACGGATGTCAGACATCCGGTTCTCCTCTAGTGTGAGTCTGGTACGAAGCTACTGAGAATAAAGTGTTTCATGCTTCCAGGTCTGTGGTGTTGAGGAAGTTGTTGAATCAAGGAGGCAAAGGGTTTCTTCCCAACAACCTCATTTGAGCTGATGATGAGATGAAATTGAAGTAAATGATCAAATGCAGCCGTGCCTAGCAGGTACTGGCTGGTCTTCAATATGCCCTTGCTCTTTCTTAATTCACAAACCATCCCTCTAGTTGCATGACAGAACGGCCTTATTTTACTGCCTGTAATTTCATGTCTCATTAGTAGTCCCTGTATTCAGATGAAATGTATTTTCTTTAGTGTTCTGAAAGGTCATGTTTGAGCCACCTATACTATATTGAACTATATCGAACCACCAGTGCTGAGAGCTGAGCACCATGAGACCCATCGGAGCGGGGGGAAACGACGCTGTTTATGGCTGCCATTCTCGCTGGCTGAAGACGTTCCTTTCAGCTGTGCTCCCTCTCTGCCTTGTTCCTCACGGCTGTATTAATGTATGATTTTTTTTTCATTTATATAAAATTGAGCCTTAATAAGACAGTAGTTGTCCTTAATATTGTTAATATGGTGTAATGCACAATGTGTCAGAAATCCTGCCTTATACTGTGGAGGGGGTTTCAACCTGCTACAGAAGAAGGGGTTAGACCCCACGAAGCCTGCGGGGTCCCCGAGGTCACGTGCGCACGGAGGCCCGGGGCATCCGCACTGTCCTGGGAGGCCTGTGGCCTTTTGTGCGGCCTCTCCTGGCCTCTGTGCGCAGCTGGCCTCGGGGACCCTGCGGCCTTGCATGCAGCCTCCCTAGGCCTCTGTGCTCACGTGGCCCCGGGGCCCCTGCGGGCTTCGTTGGGGCTATGGAGCCTCCAGGCGCATGGGGCTAAGGTGTTCTCTAGTTCCCAAGGGGCCTGAAACGTTAAGTCATCACCCTCCCCGTAAATGTGACAGTAGAGGCTTCCACAGGGTCATTTGGCCACTCAGTAAACTGAATCTAGAAAGAACCTTTAAGATTTAATCTGTTCTCTGTATACACTGCATATAGAGAACATATATATGCAGTGCTTACACAGTCCCAAGAACAGCTCTTTCCCTCTCAGATACGTGCCAGAAGCCACTGCACTACCAGATCATTCATTCCATCACAGTAATTCTTTTCTGTATAACAGGTTGGTGGGAATATATCCCCTTATGGAACAGACTGGATTGAAATTGAGATTTCCTGTTATTAGGAATGTGTTCCTCATGGAGCCTGCGTAAGAGAAGGCAGCAGAGCAATTAACTTCTGAACAAGGACACAGCTTTAATTTGATCTGTTGAACTGAAATTCTGGCATAATGGGAAAGTAGAGCTCTATTAGATGACAATATAGAGAGAGTTAAAGCAATGGCCAGGGAAAAAAAATAGCTGTACTTGACGTAAAAACGTTAAAAAAAAAAACAAACAAACAGTTGTTTCCAACAATGGTGGCTGTTGTAGAGGGTGATGGTGGTCACAGATGGTGCCTGTCTTGTCTGTATTGCATTTGACCCCTGGGGTTTTTGAGCAGCTGCTCTCCGTGTTTCCAAGCAGATAAACTCTGAAGCGTGCCCATCCAGAATCGCCCCTGAAAGCAAGGGATTGTGCTGCACGGGCCGCCCACGGAAACTGTTTGCTGCCGTTACGGAGCCGCGGCAGCTGGCGGCTGCAGTTGAGCTGCGAGCGAGCATCGCGGGCTCCCTGCTTTGCCTTTCCCCCAGCCAGGCCGGCAGCAGCTGGGAGGAACAGGGGCGCAGAAGGACTTGCTGCTCCCCCCAGCTGCATCTCCCCCCATGAAAGAGCTACCCAGGTGGCTGCTGTTAGGAGCACAGTTCAGCCTCCCCCAAAACAGATGCACTGCTAGAATTCAACCGCTTAGCAGTTTTCACCCCTTTAAACCTTTTGGCAGTAGGAGTTAAGTGCTCTCACTGCACCTTTGCCAGCTGCAGTAGAGCCTCTAACAATTAGAGAAGACAGCTAAAAAAGCTAAAACTCATTATTTCTTCCCCACACCAGCTGTCACTTACAGAGGATGGTACAGCTGCAGTTTGGAGTAAGCAAGACTCTGCAGCTGGTAGCTGAACACCGATTTTGAGCTGATAGCTGAAGCCAACAGTGTGGTTCCTGAGCTGCTCCTATAACAGAGCTTTTTATTTGGATTTTAAGAGACTACTAGAAAGTGTCACCAGCAGGTTGCTTTAGGCTGAACAGTAAAACAGGTCATGTAAACACAATCTGTTAACACTTTAGTAAAAGTATTAAATATATATAAAAAATAATGACCAAACCAGCTCAAGTATTATGAACACACTCCTTTAAAACATTATTTTATTAGAGACCAAAGAGACTGTGCCTGTTGCGGGGCTCTAGTAGACCGTATACATAAGCAATGGACATACCTACCTATTCCTCACCTCTCTCTTAAAGAAGATGCTTTCATTAGACTGCAGACAAGCTGGTCCATGCTGCCCATTAATGGTTACTAATCAGTGCTTAATAACTCTATTCCCTTGGGAATCTTGTGTGAACAGTAAGTCGTAGCACACCTCTAACTGAGGCTCCTCTAGTTTGCTTCTGTTATTTGTCCTGTCCCCGAAAGAATCCTTGTACGGAGAGTTAATCAGCCTTCTCCTAGTGCTGTGTTTGTCCTTTAGAGGAGATGTTGCTTTCTGGCATTTGTGAGAAATTACCGTGTTCCCTTCGGAGTCCTGGGTGAACAGTTGTTTCAGAGGGCTGCTCAGGCTGCTCTCACTGCCCCCTTCTTGCTTAGCTGCCCGTGCAGCATTTTGGCTGCGTTCTCGCAGAGGCTGTGCTCTCACTGCTCTATTTGGAGGTGAATAGCAGCCAGCAACCCAGCTCCTGACTCTCTTCATAGTGGGGTCTGTATTCTCAGTCTCAGAGAAATCAACTAGAAATGACGTGTTTTCATTACTACACTGTTGGTGTGGTTTCTTACTCTGGTTTGCACCATGTCCCGGCTGGAAATCAAGTCCCTCCTCCTCCTCTGGGTGCCCCTCTCCTTTGTTTATGCAGGAGGCTGTTGTTTTTCTTGAAGTTACTTTGCCCGTGGAAGCTGTTTCTCCAGCAAATAAATCAGCTGCATTTCTGTGAGCTAGGATCCGGTTGCCCTCTGAATCCTGGGTAAAGTTTAAGACGAAATCCTCCTTTTCCCCACAGGAGGTCTCACTCCTACTGAGCGGCTCTGCTTCTGGCAAAGAGTCAGGCAAAAAGGTCTGTGAGATGAGCGGATGCTCGACTGTGATCCGTCCCTTCTTATCTTCAGCTCTGAAAGGAGGCCTCTGGGCTTCCTCTGTCTCTGGAAACATCACGATCTTCGCTGGGGAGGCGGCCAAAGAAACACCTTTTTCTTTATGTTCTTTATTTAGGACAAGTGGAGATAACCTGTAGTTTTCTTTGTCTTTTTTATCTGAGAACAAAGTGGAATTGGGTAATGTCAGAGCTGCCACACACATTTCTCAGGGAAACCATTTAAGATTGGAATCCAATATAGTTTCTCAATATAAGCCAATTTATCCTTCATTCAGGATATGCTATTTGTTTGCAACAAAGACCTAGAATTGATACAGCTTCTTAAGCCTTTTAGCAGAGTCTAATGAGTAATAGCTGCATTCTATGAATCCAAACACATGCATGAGTAAATAAAGATCAGGTGCATCAAATGAAAATAAGCACACAGATAAATAAAAGCATATACTGAATTCTAAAGGCACAGGACTGGCAAATTCAAAGAAAAAAAAAACAGCCCTGCCACAATACACTAAGAATTCTATCAAATGGCTACCAAAACGAAGCATACATGTTCCTGCTGGGCTCAGCCCCTTCTTGAATGGGTTTGTTCTGTTCTTCTGACCCATCTCCCCTTAGATGACGGCCCTTGAAAAAGCAGCCTGCTTCTCTAGTCAGAACTGGGTGTGTTCATCTGTTCGACTGTACAATTTACACAGTGGTTCCTCTGGTCTGCTTATTACACAAGTGTTGATGAACTAGCTGTTACACAGATGGAAGCACTGCCTCTTTTTCTGTTAAGGCATCAGTGTGTACCCTACACTGCTGAGTTCAGCATTTCACTGCTGTCTCTATCTTTTAATTTGAGAACAAGACAGCCAAATCCCAGTTTCTTGTTCCAGATCACAAAAGCAGCCGCAAAGCACAGACCCTTAAATATTTTCCCTGTGATCTGCTCTCGCCTTTGTTGGTCCAGGTAGGATTTTACATTGTGCTCTTCTGAAAAGGCTTTGACAACCTATTCGCAAAAAGCTTTCCTTGCAAAACTCCCCTTGGTTTCTCTTACAACTAGACTCTTTGAATTCAGCAACCCTTGCATTTTCACTTGCAGCTGTAAAGCTCCCGCAAGAGCCCAGGACTGCTATTGTTTACAACAGATACCCCATGCAGCTCCTTGGAAGCTCTCCCTCGCCCAGGCAGGGCAGCTGCCCACACAGCACGGAGGAGCTCGGGCCATTGCCCAAACCGTCCCTGCCCACCCAGATGTGGCATCCCTGCCTTCAGTGCCTTAAATGCCTCTCCAAAGCCTGAAATCCCACCTGAAAAACCCAAGAACACACTGCAGCTGGAGCATGGAATTACACAAATTCTTCAAGTGTTGATCGAGGCTTTTACATCCTAGGCTTCATAATAATAATAATTATCAGCTGCCTTCCATACCTTTTACCGGAAAGACCAGTTTGGTAGAGAACAGAATCTGGTACGTTATTAAATGAGTTCATCTTGCTCTTGAATGAAGACTGGCTGTTAACTACTCACTGTTACTTGCACTTGAGTCTAATGCTGCATAAACACCGCTTTCACCCGGACCCTCAGTGTGTTTCTTTCCAGCAGATCAAACCTTGAACCTTTACCCTCATCACAAGAAAACGCCTCGTAAAATGCCCACACAGGGAGACAGCTTTTCTGCTACAGCCCAGCTGGGCAGGAGCGGCTCGTGTTACCTGTTTGTGAGCTGAAGAAGGCGGAGATGGTGGTTTGCTTGGTGCGTGGCCACGCTGCTCCGGGCCGCGCGGCAGACACGGCGCCATTCCCGTCGCAGCTCCTTTCCTGAGGTCGATGGAATGCCTTGGGCCGGGATAGGAGGGACTGGGGAAGGAAAGAAAAAAGGAGGCAGTGACCGTGCGCTGGTAAAACGAACCTGCCCGTCCTGCTGTGTCACAGCATGATTCCCGCTTCCGTGATACCTGGTGCAGCTCCTGTCCAGGTGTCCTGCACTGCCCAAACCTCATTAACCACAAATCACCCTACACATATTTAAATACTTCTATGTTGCACTCATCTTGCAACCGAATTCTTATCGCATATTATTCATATCGTATATCATAATAAAATCACATCTTTTCCCCCAGGCGCAGTCTCCTATAGCCTAAAAGGGCTCCCTGAGCCCAGCGCAGCCGGCAGGGAGCTGCCCGCACCCTCCGCACCTGCAGCGGCCGCTGCTTCAGCTTCGCCGTGTCCAGCCAGACGCCGCACGGCTCGACCCGCGGCGCGGGGCGGCCCCTGCGCCTCATGGCAGCCCCGCAGGGAGCGAGGGGAGACGCGGCGCTTCCGCAGGCGCTGGGCGCCGGGCAGGGTCCGCGCGAGCGCTGGCGCAGAGGGCGCGGGAAGGGCACGGGCAGCAATGGGCGCTGCGGCTACCGGCGGCGGCTCCTTTTCCCGCCGCAGCGCCCGCGCAGCCGCAGCGCGCGCCAACCGCCGCCGCGTAACGGCCGTAACGGACGCCGCGGGGGCGTGGCCCCAGCGCGCGGAGCGGCCAATGGCGGGGCCGGATGGTATGATAGGCAGCAGTGGGCCCGCCCACCCCGGGCTGCGCCCTATATATAGCGCCCGCTGAGGGGCGCGTGCGATGCGTGTTTTGGGGGTTGGTTTGGTCTCGCCGTGGCCTCCTCTGGGCTAAAAGGGGAAGGGCGCTCGGGGCTCCCCGCCAGACAGCGCGAGGATGGGGTGGCAGTGGGACCGGAGGACGGGCAGGACGGGCCACAAACAGCGACGCTGTCCGGGCGGCCGCTACCAGATGCGGCAGCGGGGCCAAGAGGGCAAGGGCTGCTGCGGCGGGGCTCCTGTGAAGGCCAAAAGGGAGCTTCCCCCACAGCTCCCTGCAGGCTCTGTGTCCCCCTCCAGCCCCGGCCTGGCAAACCTGCTCCTCAGCAGCAGCAGCTGCAGGTGGTTTGGAGCAGCCAAGGGCCCCAGCTGCTCCTCACACTGTGGCACCCATAGGTAAGAGGAGACCTGCATGGGTTCTTACAATTGCCCTGGGGCACAGTCTCCATCAAGCCCCTCCTTGGCCTAATTTCTACATCCCTTATGTTTTCCTGGCTTAGGTTCTGCCATAGCTAACTGGATCTAGGATCAGATCACTTTACCTTTTGCCACCTGGAAGCATCCAAGAAACCTTCCCAGGTCAGTTAAGGCTTAGGGTTGCACTGCTAGGAAAGAACATTTTGATCCAATAGTTTATTCAGACATTTGTATTAAATTGGTGTACCATTAAGAACAAGTGGAAACTAGCTTTGAAGTTTAAGAAGCTTAAAGAGCAGCTCAAAGCGTCACCCCTGCAGAGAGCACTGACTGGGAGCTGTTGGCAAAATATTTCATGCTCTCCTGGGGTCTGGGGCCAGGCGCATCCCACAGCTACAGCAAGCACCCAGGTGAGCCCAAACGCGTCTCCTTTGGGGGTCTTAATCCTCTTTGAAGCTCAGCTTGTGCTTCACCTTCCTGGCCATGTAAGCGGCTGTGAGAACAGAGCAGGTTACAGTGAAAAGGCAGAGGGCAGAAAAATTGTGAGCTAAGTCCCCGTGGAGCTTAGAGTAGATTTGCCGCCTGGACTCATAATCCAGCACCACCGCCTCAATCTGTGCCAGCGTGCAGAGCACCAGGAACACGTGGAAAATCTGGTGGCCCTGTCCAAAAAAGTGACATTTCCCAGGGAACCACTTCTCGGGATAAGGGTGCGAGAAAAAGAAGGCACCGATGAGGAAGAAGAGCACCTGGCACTTGTGGTAGAGGAGGGCAGGGTCGTCGCGCTCGGCGGCGCGGGCGCTGTAGATGCGGTGGATCACGGGGCTGATGTCGAGCGCGTAGGCCAGGCCCGAGGGTGCCTCCTGGCACAGGCGGCCCAGCAGTTGCGCGGACTCGTGGCAGCGATACTTGGCGTAGCAGGAGCCCGCGCACGACAGCCACGCCAGCAGCACGGCCGCCGGCACGTAGAACGCCCTGATCCTCTCGTGCCAGCCGGGCTCGATGGCGTAGTAGTAGTGCACGAGGGCGCTGCCGTACTGGTAAATGGCAACCCCCACGTAGTCCATGAAGAAGAAGCTGTAGTGCCAGAACTCGGACTTGGCCTGCAGCAGGTGAGCCAGGGTGCTGAACGTCAGGTACGTGATGGATGCGGCGATGATGATGAGGAGGGGCTGGGCGTGGGGGTCCTGCCCGAAATCCACGCGCTGCGAGAGCTGCTGGAAGCGCAGCAGCAGAATCAGGGCTGCCACCAGGTGGGTCCACACATTGATAGCCTCGTTGTGCTGCTGAAAGAGCGTCCAGAAGTAGTAGCGCCAGGTCTGGTGAACGGGCCGGTAGCCGGTGTGGATGTAGGGCTTCCAGAAGACCTTGGGCACCTCTGAGCTGCTCACGGTGGCGGGGGACGGCGGGACCAGCAGCTGGGGGACCTGGCGCACGTTAATGAAGAGGCGGCTGAGCTTTCCGGTGACCGCGGTTGCCATGATGCCACCAACGCCGATCCACTGCCGAGCACCCCTGGGGACGAAAGGGAGGTTTGGCCACGGAGTTTAACGGGAACTTTAACAAAATCAAGGAGAGGCTGAATGTTATTGGCTTCAGACATGTAAAGTCACATATGAATAGTGCCTCACTGTGAAACCTGAAATAAATACAGTAAATAATAAAGGGAAAAAATAAAAGGCAAATCAAGAAGCGCTGCTGACTTCCCTGCCAAGCTACCTTGGAAACGCACCGAGAAGAACAAGCCTGAGACTAGGGGTTTTTTTCCTGCTCTTCTGCTGGCCAGGCTCACCAGATTTGCTCAAACAAGCTTTAAACATAACAGCCAGACTCCCTCCGATCACCGCGCTGTTTACACTCCTAATTCTTGGCAAGTTGAGTCATTTCAGGACAGCTCAGATAGGAAAAGCTCTCCAAAGTTTGGAAATCGGAGGAGATGGGGCTGTTTGTTTAACCTGCTATTTCCTCACGAGAAGGGGGCCGACAGCTCTGTAAGTGGGTCGCTGCCTGCGCCGCTTCCCTCCTTTCCTGCCTCGGCCGCCCTCCCGAGCCGGCACGCGGGTCCTGCATGGAAGCCGGCACAAGGCGCCTGCCGGGGCCTCACCTCAGCTCCCAGCCCAGCTCCGACGTCTGCCGGGGAAAACTCAGCGGCACCGACCTCTTCCGGGCCTGCGAGGGCTCCGCGGAGCCGAGACGGCCCCGGCTGCTGCCGGGGGGACACGGGTGGAGCGGCGCTTCCTGCAGCAGGCTGCTGTAGATGGAAGCCTCCAGCGGGCGCTTTGGAAGCAGGGACACCCTCGTGCTGTGCGGAGCACCTACCTTTGTGGCTGTCACCAAGCAGCGGCTGCCCCACGGGAAGCGAGGAGGAGACCGGGGCGCACACGGCGTCCGAGCAGGTTGCCGGAAGCCAAATCCCTATGGAAAAGCTGCCCCCGGGCTCTGTTCAGGGAGCTGCTGGGACCAACCCAGCAGGATGCAGAGCTGTGTTTACATGAGCAAGCTCCAAAACTTGTTTGAGCAAGACCTAATCTGCGAGGCTCTTGCAAAACTCCGTTACCAACATCCTGCACTAGGAATTGGCTTGCTGGCAGCTTGACTAAACAGTCCCTGACCTGCAGCCTCCCCATGATGCTGCCTCCGATACCTGATGTTTCCTACAGTGTATTTCCCTTCTCCAGGAGCATCCACCCATCCTGCTGAATTTTCCTAAGGAGATGGTCTGTCTCCAGCTGTTAGCTCCCCTGTGCACAGCTGTAATTATCTTTCTGAAGCACAAACATGTATATCTTTCCGTTCAGCTCTTCCCGGGCTCTGCCCAGGGTGCCCGAATCGCAGCCAGGCTCTGGGCTCGCCGGCCTCTCCCTGCTCCCAGCGCAGCAGCTTTATGCGACTTACACGACCCTTCCGCAGGGCAGCCAGGGAGCAGCCCGTCCTGCTGCGATTCCGCTTCCTGCAGAGGTGACAGGACTTGGGGATTGTCACGTGCGCTGGGTCAAAGTCCTGTGTGGCCGGGTCACTGCAAAGGACCCCGGCGAATCCCGCTGCGCAGGCAGCTCCTCCCGCCGGGCGCCCCGTGCGGAGGCCGCAGCTCCAGCGGCTCCGGCGGCTCCGCTGGAGGCCGGACTGCCCGGGGAGGCCGGCCCTGCTGGCGCCTCCTCCTTCCCTCCCTCATCCCGGGAACAGAGAAAGGAACAAGAATAGGAACGGTAAGCAGCAACTCCCCGTCCCTGTGAATCACCCCCATGTCATCCCTAAGGCGAGCTGAAGGCTGGTGGGAGCTGCAGCTCCAGCACCCCCCGCTGCAGCCCAGGTGCCCCTTGTGCCCCCCGGGTGATTGGGGCAGGAAGCAGCACTGACAAAAAGGACGCGTGTCCGTCCCTTAGCAAGCAGGCTGCAGCTTTGCAGGAGCTGCTCAGTTGCCCAATTCAGCAGTCACCCAGCCCCGCTTGCTGCACCCTGGCCTTAACCACCCTCTCACCATGAAACAAGCCCACAGAGCAGGGCTCTTCTCTGTGCTCTCTCTCTCTCCCCCTCCCCGGTCCTTTCCCCAGATGTTACCATCCTCTTCCTCTCTGCATCCCCAACTTTCATTCTGTCCTCCCTGCAGCAGCTCCTGTGGAGGAACTCAGCCCTCTGAGTCAAGCTCCATTTAGCACAAGAAGCCACATGAAGCGGAACTCAGACTGAAGAGCAGCCACCTCCTGCTCACAGCTGATAACTTTGGCAAGTAGGAAACTCCTCCTCCTTTGATATTTTTTCTTACTGTCAAGCAGTTGGGTTCTGGCAGGGCTGTCATTCTCACCGCCCCCGACTTCGAATTAGAGGGGAGAAGGAATAGGAGCACTGGACTCTTCTTAGGCAGCAAAGCAGTAGGTTGGTCTGGGGGGTGGTGGGGGAATTTGACTGTTTACTGTTAATTATATGTAAAAATAGATAGGGGAAATAACAGTTTTATAGAATTAGATAGGCTCAACATCTTTCCTACACAAAGAATTGATAGAAGTCTGTTTTAGGGTTTAATCTCATATTCTGTTCTGCTGTTCACCTCTCCTGGGTAGGCCCTCATCTTGACTTGTGCAAGGCTTGGTAAGTGCCCTCCAAAGACCTGTGGAGTGGCTGGTGCTTTCTGAGAGGCAGAAACAGTCTGTCTTACTTTGAGTTCTTAAGTTAACTGGGCTTCAGAAAGGCTTCGAGCTACCCAAGGATATTGGGATTCAGAGTTTCCCACTGGAGCCGGAACTTTCTTCTATTGTTGAAACAGCAGGCTTTAATTTTTGTCTAGTTAAATACAAGTCTGATGCAGTAAGTGCTGCACAAGGCCTGCTGAAGGGAGGTCCCCGCTTTGGTGAACCTCAGAAGGCCAAGGCTCCACTACCCCCTAGCCACTACTAGGTCTTCCAGCCACAGGTTATCCAAATCCATCATGTGGCCAGTGCCAGAGGGTAGAGATGCAAGATAAACATGAAAATAGCCATCACCAGAGGCCTAAAAATTAAGGGCACAACCCCAGGGGAAACCAGCATCTAAACACCAAGTATTTGAACCTTGAATTTCAGAACCAGCCCTGGTCTTTACCTTAGGAGAGTCGGTCAAATCCAAGTGTGTGTGTGTGTGTGTGTGCGCGCAGCTCTGGCAGGAGGCAGCCTTCAGAGCCGAGCTCCTTCAGAACAGGATGTTTATACTGAAGCAGTTGTAGGCAGGTGGCTATTTACTCACCTTCCTCCCCCACCTAATCCACCTTAAAAGCATCTTTACTCATAGCAAAAGAGCACTGGTTCTCTTATGTTTGTATGCACCCGTGAGGAAGAATTATCTTCAGCTTCACTCTGGGGCACCATTTACTATCCCAACACACCAATTTAAAAACCATACCTTATCTACAGCAGCATTTTCTGTTCAGGCAGGCACATGATCCCAAATAGAAAAGGCTGCTGCACTTCTAGGCTTCCTAACATTATAGGATGCAGAAGTCACACTTCAATGGCAGAGTTAACCTTCCAGAAATCCTTCCATTAAAAAAAGCCCACAAACAAAAAGGCCTGGAGTCACATGGTAACAAGGACTTACTTGTTGGAAGGGTCAGCATCCAAAGGGAGGTGGTTCTGAACCCTCTGAACCAAAACACACACCAGCTGACACTGCTGAGGTGTCCAAACAAAGCTTGTATTGTAAAATTAAGACAATGGAAGTGCTCTAGGGAAGAGGCAGTCATGCAGCATTCCCCATGGATTTTAGTGAAATGCTGCTACCAACTTGTTATCCATGGCTGGCTAAGGGCATCTTTTGGACCTCTGCTCACTCATTTTGTCTTATGTTGCTTTCAGAAATAATTCTCATGATAACAGCACTGTGCAGCTTTATTTAGTCACTCAGTTACAGTAGTATTTTAGACTGGGACAGAATCAGATTTTGGAAGTGTTACAGATATTCAGCATGGAACAGTATACTACATATTCCTTTCACAAAGTCTTCAGAGCTGATACAGTACTAGCCATCAACCCAGTAGCAAGTGCTCTGGAGTAGAAAAGGATGCAACAAGAAGATAGCTACACTGGAAAGACAACACTTTAGAAAAGTGAAACATGGAAGGTCTCCCCTCTAGCCCCTAAAGTGTACAGTTTGGATCTAACTTTACAGTTCTACATCAGTTTCTAGAAACTTAAAAACAAAAACCAAAAAAAAAAAAAAAGAAAGAAAACCACTGGCCAGTACAGTCTTTGGATATTTAGAGGAGGGGGAGAGTCAGTTTCCAGTATGAAGTCAGTCAGTTTCGGCCTCACCAGGGTCTTTGCCTTCTTTGTTCTTTCGGACCTCTTCAATATGCTTGTCCTGAAAGAGAAGAGCACTGAAGCAGTTAGTTGCCTGAGTCCAGAGAAAGGCAAAACCCCAGGTCTGCAGAAGTGCATGTGACTGCTTCTCACCCAAATTTACCTCCCACCTCTCCAACCAACAAGAGAAGTATGACAGAGGTTACAAGACAGAGTTATAAAATGAAGCTTTAGGAGCATGCAAGAAGCTAACTCCATCTGTCTCCTCTCCCCCAAGGGAAAAGTTTCTGACAAGGCTTTTTTCAGATTTAATATTTAATTATTGGACCAACACAGAACACCCAAGGACATCCATCTATTCATACAGATTCCCAAATTTGGTCATTTACTCAGCTACACACACACAGAGCTGGTTTCCAAAGCCAGGAGCTAAAGCTAAATTCTCTCCCAAATGGAAATCTGGAGCTTTACACCTACTTTCTCCCTCAAGCGTTCCAGTTTAGCAGCCATTTGTGCCTCGCGGTTTTCTTTGTTAGCTTCCATTTTGTGGGTCAGCTTCTCCTCTGCCATTTTGCTGAAGTTGTTGTTTTCTTCAATTGCTTTCTGAAGCACTTCTTTTTCATGCTCTCGTTTCTCAGCTAGCTGCTTCAGGACTTCTGCTTCATGAGACTAACAAGATAGATCATGCATGTTTGGAACAAAACAAACAGGAAAGTAGTTTCTGCCATTAGTTTTACATCTTTGAGATTCTCAAAGAGTTTCCCAAGAGCCCAAGATATCCTACCAAGATTTGATTAACATTCAATTGTTTACAGCAATACAATCTGCTAGGTACTTGTCTCAGGCAAAAAGAGAAAGCAAGATTTAAGAAAATCCCTACAAGGCCAGTTGAGCAGAGCTCTCTCAACCTGTGGTTGTTTTGAGTTTACCTTACGTCTCTCTTCTGCCGCTTCCAGCTTCTTCTGAATTTCCTCCAGTGACACATCCTTCTTCTTTGGGGGAGAAAGAGGAAATTCTGGAACTGCTTCCTTTGAGCGGGGACTCAGTATCAGCTCAAATGCCTGCCCAGAGGCACGTTTTTCCAGCTCCTTCACTTGAATATCTACAAACACAAAATCCATCTTTTAAGCGAGGAACTAGTTTAGGTAACTTGAAAGAGCCTTCAGAAATTCAATGCCACAAGAAGTTCAATCCAGGGAACAGTCAAACATGTGAGCTCCCCATGTGAGCTTTTCTGAGCTTCGTTTTATGAAGCAGCACCATTCACAAAAACAAAAGCAGGTAATTTGGTTTCCAAATCTTCTTAGGTATTATCCAAGTGTTGGACATTTTACTTTAGCCTCCAAAAGTGAAGTCATGAAGAGCCATTCATCAGTATTTCAACCAAAAAGCATTCTTTCTTCAGTGAGAAAATGGTGCAAGAGATTCAAGGTATCTTTCTGCAGTCTGACCCAGCAGAGCCAAGACCTGAAATAAACTCTCGGAAGGACATTTAAGCTGATGTTCTGACTTGAAACACCTATGAACAGGCACATCAGCCTGCTCAAGGTCAGCTGTAGCAGCACATCAGTTTGGATCACCGAGATGTCTGTGTGATAGTCGGTTTTGCTAACTGAGCAGATGGCAGGCACACGAAGTGAAGCCTGTCTGCTAACAGATGCTGCTCGCCTAGTTAAAATGATTTGTGCTAGGTTTCTCCAAAGCAGCCTACAGAGCGGTGAAAGCTTAGTGACCACAGTTTATTTTCTGTATTATTTTCCTCTGAAGGAATTCTAAGCTTAGTGAAACAACCACAAGTGTGTCAGCACTAAGCATTACATACCAGAAGTAGCCATGTCCAAGAAGACAGACTCAAGATGCAAGCGTGGCGAGAACGTCACTCAATCGCACTCCTAGACAATAAAGGGACATTGTGTCTTTGATTAGTCAGCACATGCGTTTCTCTCCTCTCCTTTCAAATTCCAGGAAAATGGGTAAGTATTATTAGAAATAAAACACAACCAGGTAAGTCACCGAATTCTTTACTTCCAAAGCACCCCAGAATGAGACTGATGTACAATGGGCAAACAGAAGAGCTTCTCCCAAAAACCATTTTGCAGAATTTGCACGTCAGAATGCACTGCTATCTGGATAGCTTCAGTCCCCATTTTATAGCCATTAAAATATACACATTAAACACCCCATTTTCCCATTGTTTCAACAGTGCACGGGGTTATGGAGAACACTGAACATTGCAACTAAGGGCCCAGCAAAGGGGATGAGCCTTTCAGTGCAGAGCACGCTG